CCAAAGAAAACTCTTAGCTCCACGAGGTATCCAATTCAAACAGAAAATACTACTGAAAATGCTAACTCAAGTGGATTGGTTTTAATCAGAGCTAAGAAATTAGAATATAAAACTAACTTTAGAAAAGGTAAAGTACAGAAGGAGCCCTGGTGGTGCAGTGGTTAAAGTGCTCGGATGCTAACCGAAATGTTGGGGGTTTGAACGCACCAGCTGCTCCGTGGGAGAAAGATGTGGCAGTCTGCTCCTGTAAAAATTTACAGCCTTAGAAAGCCTATGGGGCAGTTCCACCCTGTCCTATAGGGCCGCTATGAGTCAGAATCGACTTGATGGTAATGGGTTTGGTTTTGGTTTGGTAAAGTAAAGAAACAAAGTGGTTCCTTTTATACAATAACAACGCTTCTATTTTGAGTGCAAGTATCTAATCCAGTAACTTCACTTATTTTAAAGATAGCAATGAAACTGGTAGTAATTAATAAATGTCACAAAATCCATGCGCTTAGATATAATTAAGTTCTTTAGGTCTTCATTCTCAATCAATTTACTCTTAATTTACACATAATTCTAATTAGTTCGGTCATCCGGTTTTCAAAACCAAAGCAGACTAGAAGCAGCATTATGAAGTTGGAGAAAGACTACTACTATTACAGACAGACTTAAGCAAGCAGTAACATAAATGGAGGAGTCAGAAGGACTATTAGAAAACAAAGCCATAAAAACTGAAAAAGCACAGCAGAATGGAGCCATTTACTGTAGGGGCAAATAGCTCTCAGAGTCCAATTAATCAATCAGTTAGTCATTATTAACTAGCGTTAATAATGATCATTTTGACATTGAAAAAGATGAAAATATATTTTGTATATTATTTAAGAAGACAGTAATATATGTACATTTTATAAAGATTTCCTCCAGAAATTATTCCAAAAAATGTTGATGCTTAAGGAGGTTTAAACTTTATAGAAAATTGGGATATCTAGAATGACTTATTTCCCAAATATTCAGTTAGCCAGATCTTACTAAATTAGCCACGCATGTTTAGTCTCAAACCAACAGTTCTAGAACTCTAAGTCAGGGTAAACAGAATTGAAGCTGTAATTGAAGTGCATTAAGTCTTAAATCTGTATACCATACTAAGAACAATGAACAAGAACAAAATATCCACCATTTTCCTGAAATATATACAATGGTTTATAAAAAGATGATAGTCAATTTTTCTTTTAAAGGCTGAATTCATTAATGGAGAGTCCTAGAAACACGAATATATAAAAACTGAATTAACACTTCAAATACATGGCAATTACATACTCAACCAAATCTTTTAGCAAGTTCTTAGTAAAGAATTAAGAGGCAGACAAAAGTATGTTGTGTAGCCAAACAGGTGTCATACGTCCATGCACTTTACTGACAGAAAAGGCCCTTAGCCCTCTCTCAGTCAGTCTACTTACTCTTATTTTAGACACCATTCTAGCAAGCTTGGTAATCTGGTTTCTCAGGCCACAGCAGATTAGAAGCAGCAAATTAGGGGCCTATTGCAGGAGGCAGGCACACAAGACAGCAGCAAAAAGTGACAGCTGATTATAAGGGAAGAATAAGAAACTGTGAAAAACAGACATAACTTAAAAGCATAGCAATGTGGGGTCATGTAGTAAAGGGGCATATGACATTATATATCTCAATAGGAAAAGTTAAATTACATTCAATGTACTCTAGAAAAAGTGGGGGAGTAGAAAATATGTATTAGAAAATTTCTTACTGAACTATTAAAATAAATTCACTGATTAAATGGATTTGCCTCAGTTACCTGAAAAATTAACTGTTACAAGTTGTCTGTTAATGACAACAGATAAATGACTATACTTTGGGTATTTTTTGCTGTTTTCTCTTTTTAAAATATTTGTGGCTTCATTTTTTAATAAAAGTATGAACTGCATAAAGAATAAATCGATCTTTATGCTTTGGTTGACATTCATGGTGTGATATATACTTCAGTTCAAGCGATGATTCAGCTACGTTATACCAGTTTTACGGCATTTAGTATTTACTTTGTTTCGGTGTTGAAACAATATACTATGATTAAACCAAAATCAGTGAACTTTTTCTCACATGATTTCTAAAAAATTCATCAAAATATTTCATAGTTCACATTTCTGATAGTATGTAAGCAAAAAGTGAGAGTCACCAGAGTGAAAAGACCTCTAGGGTCCCTTCTGATTAACACTTCAATGACATATGATTTTATGAAATCTATCAGAATGCAATTCTTCTTCACCTTCAACATTAAATAGCTTCAGAACTTCTATTTTATGAATCAGAATATTAGTATTTCTTTTCTAAGAAAACTAAGCCTTTAATTTTTGGATGTATTTTAGTAACATATTTATAACCAGATCTTGTTTTTAAGCTTCAAAAGCTTTATTTCCTTTTGAACTGTTGAGAAGTCAGAAATCACAAACATCATTTCACAATTCAGAAAGTAAGAGTTTTACTGGAAAAATGCCCATTGCCAACATTATTATTATTCAGTCAGCTGCACTTGTTCTAAATAGAGGGATCTGGGATTTAAACTGAGGCCTATTTCTTCTGTATTAAAGTCTTAAAACCATATTCTTAAATTTCCTTAGTAATTTGTCTTAAGTAACACATGGAGACTTGCTTATCTCCAATAATTTAAGAAATCAAACTTGAGTCAATGGACCAGTTCCCAATGAAATATATTTAGATGCTATAAATACTATTAGTTTTAATGAGAACTTAAGTTATAAGGTCAGATAATACAGATAACTTGTGAAAATAGCAGATGATCACAATCAAAGACCAGCAAGAGTCTGACCCTAGCTATGCCAGATATATAGTGTTCAAATGAAAACTAAAAAAAAAAAAAGGATATAAGCATGATGACTGTCACCAGATCATTTATTGCCATCATTTTCCTAACTGTGGACAAAGGGTAAAAATCTTGCCTTCAAGAATGGCCCAGCCTCTCACATGCATTCTTGTGTTAAGTACTAGGTTTGTTCTAGTAAAACAAACTATTAAAGTGTTCATAATAAAAGCTATCAGATGACTACTCCTAATGAGAAGTATTCTATCAAAATAATACTGTAAAATTTGGAAAGCAGAATTATAAGTTTTTCCCACAAGATTTTTTTTTTTTTTTTTTTACCCAGAAGGCTTCTTCTGGATATAGGATGGTAGCTATTAAAACTAGTCAAAGGCCTGATGACACAAAGTAAAATATTCTTAGAAAAGTAACAAACAAGAATACCTACTTATATTCAATGGCCTATTTGTTTATATTTTCTAAGGTATGCATAGCAAGAACCAAGTGGTGGAAAGAAATATTTAGACTTTCCTGTGCATAAAAATCACCTTGGTCTCATTCCAGAATCATCCACCAAGAATCACTCATGTATGTCCTAGACTCTGCATTTTAAAAATAAGCTTCTCAGGTTATTCTGATGCAGGTATCCCACTGAAACACCTGAGAAACATGGACTTAGCGTATTCTAACAAAGTTAGTCAAGGAATATTATACTCACAGGAAAGATAAAATATTTGTCTTGGAAATCTTTTAAAAGATGAAAGAAATTTTAAGAACTACATATAAAAAGAATATTCTGTTAAAGTTCCAAGATCGTTATGATTTCAACTAGTAGCGTTTTCATGGAACTAAGTAAGCAATAGTGAATCAAACATATCAGCCTAGAAGATTTGGAATTCCTAAATTAAAATTTCTTGGTCTTTAAAAATTAAAAACTGAATAAAATTGATATAATATTATCAAGATATTTTTCCCCAAATTCCATTAAATCTGGTGTAATAAAAATAGTTAAAAATTATTAAACTCTAATTTTTCCTGTTTTAAGGCGATAGGTTATGAGAAAAGATTACCAAGTTTTCCATATATTGTTTCTCCTAAATCTAAGGAAAAAAGGAGTCAATAAACTAAATAATTTAAATAAGAAAGTGAACCCAAAGTATTGGTATTTGAGAATTGTCCATTAAAAAACACGATTTTTTTTCTTGAAATTTAGCTAAATAGTAAGCTAAGCCCAACCTAAGATATTGCTCCTAAGAACTTAATTACAGCTGTCCCAGAATTTTGGCAACAGACAAAATTACTTATAGTACAAAGGATATCTACTATTCATTTAAAGCACAATCAAGTTTTTCTTCAGGATAAAAAAAGTTTTTTTTCCTTAGATCACTGAAAAGGAAAAAATCCTGTTCGGTAATGCTAAAAACAGTAAAAGTAAGTTTACTCACTAAAAATGTTAAATTATAGGAATTCAAATGTATTTTTAGGAAGACTAAAGACAATCTAGATTCATCATGTAATTTCCTTTCTAGGACAGAAGCATAAATTAATCCTAAATTTTCTCTCAAATAATAGGTATAAACTTTGTCAGTACATAGGACTTACAGGTTTCAAAAACAGTGTACTCCTGAAAATACCACTCTTTGAAAATGGAATCAACACAAAATAGATAAAATTGGACAATCTGGAAAGCAACCTCTTTTAAGAAGTAGTTAGTAAATGAAGTACTAAGCAGACAGGATGCTTTCCAGGAAGCTGACAGGATGTTTCCGGAATCACCAAGGTGGACAGGGTATATATAGCCTCAAGCAGCACTGTGAGCGCCTTATGTTAATGACACCCAATTATCTCTAGGTAAACTAATAAAATGAAATTTTTGTAAAGTTGAGGATGAGGTCTGGAGCCACAGGGATCCCATTTTGATATCATCTCTTTTAGTTGCAACAAGAATTAAAGAAGTGATAAACACAAAAAAATGAAAAAGGTTATTCTTAAAATGGCACAAAGTTTTTCTTTTAAAAATTGTTGTTAGGTGCCGTGGAGTCGGTTCCGACTCATAGCGAACCTACTACATACAACAGAACGAAACACTGCCCGATCCTGGGCCCTCACAATCATTGCTGTTTGAGCCCGTTTTTGCAGACACTGTGTCAATACATCCCCTTGAGGGTCTTTATCTTTTTCACTGACCCTCTACTTTACTAAGCATGATGTCCCTCCTGATAACATGTCCTAAGTATCTGAGACATCTTAAAATTAACCACTGAACACACATACATACAAAGAAACATAAGAAGCATGTCATGTACTTTTGAAACTACTTTTTAGTTCCAAATCCCAGCACACATCAACGGTATGAATGAAATATTTTTTTATTCAGAACCTGTATCTTTGTTTTATGACTGGTATAAACAAGGAAAATACAAACAACTTGTTATTAACATAAATAGCCGCAGTTATTAACTGCAAGAGTACAATAAAAAGGAGTCATACTAAAAGTTAATGTTCTTATCCAAGTCATCTTATGCTAGCAAATTTAGGCAAGAAATGATAAATTCATTTCTTCTTAAAAGTACTCCAAGATCGATCAGCTGAGCCACAAATAAAACCTCAAGTTTCTTCAAGACAGCCCTTACCTTTCTCTTATTTTCCTAAAAGATCTGCCATTTACAGGTAACTACTATTTTCAAAGCAATTGTTCAAACCAAGGTGTATATGTAAACTTACACTCATTTTTCCTTTCCAGTGAAATATCTAGTGTCAAAGCTAAAATACTTTCATAAATGGAAGAATATAAAATCCTTCATGTGAACCTTGACTCTTTATTTTTCTTCTATCCCATTTTTAATTTCTTGTGTTATTTGCTCTTCTTCCTCTTCTTCATCACCAAAAGTCTGTTCCTGCATGGTGGTAAAGGAGAAAGATCTGGCAGCCACTTCTGCAGCAAGGCCGGAAGTGAAGGTAAAATCCGGTGACAGCTGTAGCCGTGCCAGCCTCTGCTTAATGGAGGGCTGTACTGGGTCCTTGGGAGTTGGGTGGGCAGTGGCCAGGTCACCTACTTCTGCCTGCTGAGATTCATCTTCACTCTTATATTGGTAACACACTCTTTCTTCAGCTCCTTGGAGGAAGACTTCATTTGCAGAAATGTCTTTATTTTTACTCCCTAGAGGGTTTTCACATAAATTCTCAGTCCTACTTATTTCACTGTCAGTTGTGGAGGGCTTACTATTTTCCTCTTCAGTATCATTTTTACCAACTTTCCCCATATCTGAATTCATAGATGATTCTGATTTACTTATGGGTTCCACTGGGTCTACAGGAGACAAGGATTTCAACACAGCTTCAAAGGGGAAAAAAAAAAAAAAAAAAAGAAAGAAAAATAACTAAGGACCCAGCAATGATTTAAATTTCTAATTTAAATTTTCAGTAGTACTTTTCTTAAAAAGAATAATAAATAAACAAAATCTAAATAAAACTTTCTAGTAAAATCAATGTAAATTTATAAAGCCAGGGAACTTTACAAGAGATAAAATGCCTAAGAGATGAAATGAGATAGAGATTTGATGAAGATTTTTAAAACACCTCACATATTATCTTATTCAAAATATTAAAACAGTAGTTTTCAAAGTGTGGTCCCAAACCAAACCAACAGCAACAGCTTCAGTACGGAACTTATTAGAAATGGAAATTTTCAGGACCCACTCTAGACCTACTTAATTAGAAATTCTGAGGTCAGATCAGCTGTGTTTTACAAGCACTACAGGTGATTCTGATGTACCCTACAAGTTTGAGAACTACTGTATTAAAGACTAAGTGGCATGGATTTCACTGATAATGTGTCAGATAAAATGTCTAAAGTAATTCAGATAATAATCGTATCTTCAACACATATATTTACAAGTTAAAACAGCATGGAAGAAAATGCATATGCAATTCAACTTACTTGCCAACCACCTAACAAGATCCTGATGAAAGATAAAGCTGTAACTTCTATACATTTTATAATGACAGAGAAAAATACAAATGAAATAAGATCTGCATTCCAGATCAACTACTATACAAAGCATAATACATAAATATAATATATATCCATACGGCAGAAGTTGTCCTTGCAACGAAAATGAAGTTTTATTTAGCCCCTCTTGATGTTAGTAGGCAGTGGGTTGCTTGCTAGGCAGTCTCTCCTCCCAGTATAAGGGGTTAGTACAATACAATATATTATGAAGCATGACGGAAGAAAAAAAAGTGCTTCTTGAAGATCTGGCGTTTATTTAAAAAATATTTTTGTAAAACGTGTCCATTTCCAAGAAACAGATCCCTAAGCTGCAGTAACTCCACTAGAGAAGCAGCAACAACAGAAAAAAATGGCAACAGCAGGTTCCAGTGTAGAATTTCCCTCTCTAATTCCATTCGGACTTTACCCCTGTAGGCAGAGATGAAAACAACTCTGGAAGATGTACTGAAATTTTTCATGGGAAAAGCATTTTATGGTATCAGCAGCTTTTTACTTATTTTCACAAATTAAATCAGCATTATTGCCCTTTCAAATGTAAACTGCATCAAAAGCACATACCTGAAAAAAGACATATTTTTCTCATTGCTATATCTTTGCCCACAATGGCAACAGGATAATTTTAAAGCTATATTAAGAAAATATTAAATAAAAAAGCATAGAAGTTTATATACAATGCTATTTTCAGTCTTCATGTATGTTAGTCTACAAATCTGCTAGCCTTAAAGAATGCAACATATAATAAGTTATTATTGCTAATTAAATGGGGGGATATAATCTGTATAATGGGAGAATCAACTGACAAGTATGGTAACACAATGTAAGCCTCCAGGAGAGTAGGACTTTTTGTCTCTATCAATGCACTAGGGATACAGCAGTGAACAGTGCCTAGAATATAACAGGCACTCAATAACTACTTGTTGAATGAAAAGTTTGCTGAATGAACTCTGTGGGAGATAATAAAGCCCTTACTTAAGGAAACTGTAATTCAGTTAGAGAGAAAAAATAGCGAACACATAGGAAATAATAGTGCTCAAAACATAACTCCCATAACATCTGATTTATGTGGGCCCAATATATGGATAAGTAGGTTGCAGGAACTCTTATCTTCACTGCTACTTCTGGGAAGTTCTTAATCATTTCCCTTCTTTGCAATATGCTTTGCTGCTCAAGACTTACTATTCATTTCACTACAGTGCCAATCTGGTATGAAGGTCTGTAGTGGTAGGATAGGTGGCAGGGCTGGGGGAGTCAGAGAAGGTTTCATGGAGAAGGAAAGATTGGTAGAGAGGACAAGTTGGGGAGAAGACCATTTTTGATAAGGGAACCACATGAATTTTTTTTTTCATGACTAAAATCAGCAAATTTGGGGAACCGTACTCTAATTAGATAATATAACTAGAAGAAGATATCTATATTAGAAATAATGGGAAATATAATCTAATATGATGGACTCGTACGATGGAGAGCCCTATGACCAGAAAAAGCATTTAGATTTAATGCATCAAGAAAGGGAAAACGACTGTAGGCTTTTTAGATACAGCCATTATCAATGCAATGTTTGAGAAAGATCTGGAAGGAGCTTGCAAGTTAGCTCAGGAGAAAAAAGCAGTAAAAATGGGAGTCAGCAACGAGGCCATTATAAAATTATGAGTATGTGCTAATAAGGACCTAGGCTAGGGTCAATGGGAAGAAAGGGGGGCCAATGGGAAGAAAGAGAATGGGACAAAATCAAGAAATGAAGATCTGGACAAGACACAGTGGTAAGCCTCCTAAGAGGAAAAAACAGAGAGCTCTAATGAATTTTCAGAAATATAGGTAATCTATATACTTCTAGGGAAAAAAGAAAGGGAAAGTAAGGTAGTGATACTGAGGCTCCATGTAAATACTCTAAAATGAAGAGAAGTCCACTCTACCATATTAGAAATCCATAGGAATTAATTTCTCAGTGAGGAATCAGCTAGGTTGATATTGTCAAATATCAAGCTTCCTTCATGTCTTCCCTTCTACCCCCCATAAAGTTTGATGGAAGAAACAGGGTGAGAAACATGAATGAGTCTCAGGCAAATCTTTGGGATTAACAGTCATCCAACCTTACCCAAATCAGAGTACAGAGACAGTGGTGTACACAGAAGCCCCTTCACTGCTCATCTACTAAGGTACCTAAATCACTTAATACTGTTCCTAAATGGCCTAGGTCTTAATTCATTTTTTTCAATAGTAAACATAAGGTTATAAATTTCCTGTTTCATTGAGGTCCTTATATGTTAACATAAGGACAACAGAGTTCAGAATGTCAAATTCACTACATTTGAAAATAACATTTCATTTAAAATACTCTAAATCATTCAATTTACTGCCCATTCCAATGCAAACTTGGTAAAAAATGAAATAGCTGATGAAAAAGATGTGATTTCATATTCCCAATGTGAATATATAGCTACTTTTTTATTGCTCAAATTGAATTTGCATCTAGAAGGAAAAGTACTGTATTTACTGATGGATCCCTAAAATTAAAGCCATAAGAATTCTACAACTAAAATAAGATCCATGATTCAAGAAAAAAGAATCCCCCAAATTGAAACAACCTTTCACTCTGAAGCCAGTGCTTACCATGATCACTAAACAGAAGCTGCTTCCACTTCTGCCTTTCTGCTTCTGATGCTTTGAATCCCAGCACAGATTTTAATTCCTGGAGTACCCTCTTAGATTCTTCATGCTCACGCTTCTGTCTCTCCTTGTCTTCTTGAGACAAGTAATAAAAATCATCCTTTCTGAAATCACTATCCATATCTATCTCATCTACATAAGCTTCTAATTCCTGAAAATAAATGAAAGAAAAAACAATTTACTTCAAGCAGACAATTTTATAGTAGCATTCGTTTACTAGCACCAACCCATCTCTGAGATTGAAACTGAGGACTTGCTCTTGGCACAGGTATTTAAAACACAGTTGGGCAAAAGAAGAAAAGATAAATACCTACAGATAAATCTAATTCTTTAATAAACAAACTTAACAGCAGACGCCTAAAAAGGGTTGTGGATAAAAAAGTTTAACAACTTCAGTTGTTATTTTCCTACTTTGATACTATACTGTAGATGTAGTCAAGTTTAAAGTCATTAGCTATGTCAAAACCAATCAAAATGAGACGGGCTTGTGGTTTGGTGATATGGTCAAGGATTTTAACCTTCCTGTGGTAGGCTTTTATAGTTCTTTCTGGCTTCCCAGGAAGTCTGAATACTATTCCTAGGTTTGGGGTACACCTCATCTTACAGTTTTCCACATTTCTAAGGCAGATGGTAGGATATCTGCTCACCCATCTTCCCTTGCAGTTAAGGTTCAGGTAAATGAATTGGGATCCTCTAATCACATGTACCTGCATTAGACCTGATTTAGAAGCTTGTGATGAAAGAAGCAGGCACCTTGAGGAATCCATCCTGGCAAGGATGGTGGCAGATCAGGTTTCCAGAGGTAGAGGTACTATGGGTAGTTTTACCAGTCAGCATTGATAGAGCAAGCAGCAATGTCTGCACCCAGTGATTAGCAGTTATGTTTCCACTGGAACATTTTTTTTTTCACATACAAAAATTTATACATTGTTATGTGACTCTAATTGCCTCTAATTGCTCTCCCCATACTGTGACAGCACACTCCTCCTTTCCACCCGTTATTCCCCATGTCCATTCAACCAGCTCCTAAGCCTCTGCCTTCCCATCTCACCTCCAGACAGAAGCTGCCTGTTTAGTCTCTTGTATCTACTTGAGCTAAGAAGCACGCTCTTCACGAGTGTCACTTTATGTCCTACAGTCCAGTCCAATCCCTGTCTGAAGAGTTGGCCTTGGAAATTGTTTTAGTTCTGGGCTGACAGAGAATCCAGGGGCCATGCTTTCCAGGGTACCTCAGTTTCAGACCATTAAGTCTGGTCTTCTTCCTAGAATTTGAGTTCTGCACCCTACCTTTCTCCTGCTCCATCCAGGACTCTCTGTTGTGTTCTCTGTCAGGGTTGTCATTGGTGGTAGCTGGGCACCATCTAGTTCTTCTGGCCTCAGTTTATGTGGCCCTTTCTGTCTCTTGGGCTAATACTTTCCTTGTGTCTTTGGTGTTCTTCATTCTCCTTTACTCCAGGTGGTTGCGACCAATTGA